AATATTAAAGAAGATAAATAAATATAAAGACTCAACAGAAGAAAGGTAAAGTGACGTTTAAAGAAAGTGAATGTTCAAGTGAAGTCGAAAAGGTTACTCTATGAACAAACAGTCACTCTTTAACATTATCTTGAATGTTAAACCAATAAGGAATATTAAAAAGGCTACTCTGTGAGAAACTCACTCTTTAACATTATCTTGAATGTTAAACCAATAAGGAATATTGAAAAGGCTACTCTGTGAGAAAACTCACTCTTTAACATTATCTTGAATGTTAAAGCAATAAGAAATATTGAAAAGGCTACTCTGTGAGAAACTCACCTGATGTTGATTTTTACACTAACACGAAATCACACTGGTAATTGCTGCTCTAATGCGAATTTGAACTAACAGTACTGTCCGTGATTTCACCCTTATTTATTTACAGATTTCCACCCCCAGGTTGGGTGGAGTTTGAGTCAAATTTTTCTCGGATTCTTCGCGTAGGGAGGGACTTGTAATAAGCTCAAGCCCAGAGTTCTACGAATTTGAGAAAGTTCTCGTTGGGCGGTAGAACGACGTACTTGAATAGGATGATCGGAATTTGGGTCAGCTTTTGTACATAAAAATCTGCCCTTTAAAACTGACGGGCGATGCCCTTGAAACGGTCCTCAATAGTTCCGCATGATATCCTACCGCTACTGTACATGTCAACCTTTATCAGCACGGCTTCTATGCCCACTTAGGTGGTCGTTTGGAATTTATTGGTTTCGTCATTTACTTACGTCTTACACAAGCATATCGTCAAGCTTCGACCTAACCGAAAAGTGCAGCCAATACGTGAGTGAACGAAAGTGCTCGCAATCAAGCAATATCGATAAAATTTATAATTTAACAATATTCTGGCAAAACTTCCGTGCTCCTACGTCAAATCAGGCAAAAACGCAAAAACAAAGCCTCGTGTGGCCGCACACGAGGTAAACGCGACCAAAATGGCGGACTTGCGAGCCCCAAGCCCCGAGCCACCCCACTTCAGTGACAGCAATATTAGACATCCGGCAAATTCAGAACTCCCGAAGTCCAAGGTAAATGCCTCTGCCTCTACAACCCTGTATAAAATCAAGGCCTCACCTTACTCGCAACGTGCAAAATTAACAATTGAACACGAAAATTCAAAACTTAAAAAAACAAACGCTAAACTTCTCCAGCAGCTGGAATTAGCCAACAAAAGAATAAATGAGCTAATAAACAAAGTAGACAAGCTAATAACCCAAAGCACTCCCGCGGAATCCTTAAATTCCCCAAAAAGAGCCCCCAAATCCCAAACCACTTCGGCACCCGAAGCCATGGAAGTCGATCGCTTCCCCCCATTTACACAATCAACCCCCCCAGCCTGGAATCTTTCAAAAACCTCAAACAAAACCCTTAAAAAACACTTTAAAGCGGAAGAAGCAAAAAATCAATCCTTAAATTTCCCAAAAAGAGCCCCCAAACCACATCGGCACCCGAAGCCATGGAAGTCGATCGCTTCCCCCCCTTTACACAATCAACCCCCCAGCCTGGAATCTCCCCAAAACCGCAAACAAAACCCTTCAAAAACACCTTAAAGCGGAAGAGGCAAAAAATCAATTCACAAATTCCGAAAATCCAGGAAACCTAAACAAAACACAAACTCAAACCCAAGTCACAAGTCCCAGACCCGGCACGGTTCCAATTAACATCAGGAACCTAGCCGACTGAGTCAAAATTCCAAAAATACTAAACAAGAACATTAAAATTGAAAACTCCAAAAAACAACTATCGGGAATCTCCTTTGCTCCGAAAACAACCGACGAGCACAGAAAAATCACAAAACTACTCAAAGAAAATAAAATTGTATATCACACATTCACTCTGAATGAAGGCAAAAAACTAGCGTTCATTCCAGGGTCCAAGATTTTCCAGACATTCAAGACATTGAGGAAGAAATCAAAAGTTTAGGTTTCCACCCAACCCAAACCCACTTTTACCGGCTGGGAAACTACAAAAAAGTTTCCAATATGGTAAAAGTACTATTACCCCAAACAGAAGCCAAATTCAGTGAGACCAAACATCTATTAAATCTGGCAGTCCTCATAGAACCCCAAAGAAATTCCAACACCTTTAACCTAAAACACGTCCCCCAGTGCAAAAATTGCCAGAAATTCGGTCACTCACTAACAAACTGCGGCGCAAAGCCCATCTGCCACAGATGCGCGGAGTCTCATTTCTACAGGAAATGCCAAAAACCCCGGGAAACTCCGGCAAAATGTTGAAACTGCGGAGGGCCTCACCCAGCGAGCTATTTCCTCTGTCCCAAGAACCCCAATTTCAAGCTGCAAATCGAGGCAAAAAAGAAACAAACGCTATTCAACAACAAAGTGCAACCGGACACCTCGTTTGCGCAAAAAGCGGCAACTGCGACGGCCTCTACCGCCCCACCGAACTCCTCAAAGCCCACAATTAAAATAAAACCAAAAATCCCAACTCCAACAACTAAAACCGTAACCCAATCCCCCACAGCCAAAATGTCCCCTCAATCCAAGACCCCTCTGAACCCACAAATCCTGCAACTCCTGCTACACTCTGACGAAGAGATCGAGGCCAAAATTGCCAACACCGCGACCAAGATATCCCAAAACCCAGTCCTCAAAATGCTATGCTGAAGCACAGCATTAATCCCCTAGGTGTCCAGATCGTATCATGGAATGCCTCATATTTGTACCCCAAAAAGAAAGTAAGAATTTGAGGCATACCTACATGAAAACGATGTAGACATCGCTCTCATCCAGAAAACCTTCCTTGTCCCACAAACATCCCTTCACTTCAATAACTATCACACCTACCGTACAGACAGAACCTCCCAAGGTGGAGGCACCGCAATTGTTATAAAACAATCACTAGACCACAGCCAAATCCCCCCTTTCAACTCCAGCATTGAAACCACAGCCATACTCCTGCATATGAACAGCACCAAAATCCGCCATATCATACAAACCGCCCAATAAAATCACCACACCGGAGGACTATAAAACACTATTCAATTCCAAACATCCCACCCTACTCGCTGGCGACCTCAACAGTAAAACATGGCATGGGGTAGTAAACGATCCAATCCAGAAGGCAAAAAACTGCTAAATTACGCTACGAAACTAGACCTTCAAATCCATGCCCCAGAGGAACCCACCCATTTCCACCATCTAACGCCAGATATCCTAGACATCGCGGTGTCAAAAAATCTCGCTCTTGATCTGGTAATTTCAAGCTCAGACTCCCTTAGTTCAGACCACAACCCTATAAAAATACTACTAAACGAACACTACATACACAACCCACTACAACCATTAACATACATGGACTGGGACGTCCTATCACACGACCTCAGCGAAATTACAATCCCAAACTCCCAAATAACAGCCTTTACCCGCCCTTTACCCGCTTCTCAAACGTACCAGCAAGCTATCCCTGAAAAATAAACTCCTTCTCTGCAAACAAATCTTCCGACCCCAAATCCTTTACGGCGCCTCCGCCTTTATATAAGCCAGCAAAACAAACCAGTCCCTAATCCAAACATTCCAAAACAAATTCCTCAGATAAATCACAAAAGCGCCCTGGTACGTTCGAAACACGGCAATACATGAGGACCTAATAATGGACACCATCAGGCAATTCCTCACAAAAAAGCACAGCAAATTCAAAACAAAAGTACAAAACCACCCCAACCCAGTGGTAAAGTCCACATTTGAGACAAATCATCGCGAATATCGAGGAAATCGGGCCCAAACCTCTATTATGGCTCCCGTTGAATGGGATCTCCCAACTTAAAACCCCTAAGCTAATCATCCCACCCTCTCCCCTCTCCCCCACACCCACCCCTTGACCGCTTCAGTGTTCGGATTATTAGTATTTTTTTTGCAAGGGGGTGCTTAATGCACCAATCAAAATTTGCGCCGAAAATTCAAAATTTAGGATTTAATATCCAACAAGCCGACAAGGCTTCAAGAAGGAGCAAAAGTCCGAAAGGACTAGCTCTGAGAAAAAGTCCAACACATCCCGGGAGAGATATACAAATATATAAACATCAAAATTCAAATAATCCCCAAAATATTACTAACCTAATCTGACAAACGTGCTTATTAAATCCAAGTTACAAATGGAAATCGGTTGACAACAATAGCTTATTACAATTATAACTTATTACTACATACATTTGAACAACGGGTTAGCAGACAGGTGTACCATTGGCTAAATTCCATTTTTAACCGTTACAATATACACCTTTTTTATTTCAACATTCTACTTCATGTCTCGAAAACCGTTTCTGAATTTGTCGACAATTACCTTTATTTACAGGTTTGGTCGTCTGCAAAAAATCAACTTGTTGTGAGCTCATATTGAAGCTAAAACTCCATAATCAAATTTAGAAAATATATAGAAAATAAATTAATATACCGTGTTGCATGAATGAACAAAATAGTTTAATTTAAACTTCACTTAGTTGAAACTCTTTCAGCATCACAAATTTCGGGAGCAATTCTAATTTGGGTAATTTTTTTTATGCAACCCTGTATATTTAAGCGCTTCGACACGAGCTCAGGATGGCGAAAATCGAATAATGAGAGAAAATGTTATCTCTGTTTGTAACTCCCTTATCGTATTTGAAACGCCAGAAAAGCGACTGTTTTTCCCGTCCGTAATACGTACCTACAGGCAATTCTTCAATTTAATTTCCAGTGTATTATATGTCTAGAGCCTACACAATACTTAGACCAGGAGAAATAACGGATCAAAGTTAAAGTCTGTTTCAAAAAAATATTATTCGGTTTGCAATAACGATTTCGTTTGATGCGATGGTTTGAAATTTGAATAAACTTGCAAATAAAAAAATGGTTTTCCAGAAACTATTTCAGAATATCTTTTGCAAAATTTCAGTTCATTTTAAAAACTTTTCAATCACTTAGGCACTTAGTAAACTTTTACCAAGTGTCTACTCTTTTTCGTTCACGTTTAATAATCCATTTTCCACATAAAAACGCAGAAAAATGATCATGGTCAATAAAGCTGATCCGACATTTTAGGCTTTTTATTCCTAACCGAAAGAATTTTCTAGTGTGTTTAGTGTTTATAAGGATTAGTGAGCACTTTCATAACGTGTTCATGGTACAAGCTTAAATTTCAGTATTCAAAAAATACTGAATAATTAAAAAGTTCTACTACACGAAAAAAAAAGGATCTCTCAATGAACATCAAACATGTGCGCAAAGAATGAAACATCAAGAAAGCTGAACTGCACTTTCCCATCGTTCACTCACAGCAACCCCTATTACATGAATCATATTAACTTCCATTAGGATGAAGGAATTAAAAAATTCAGACAAAGCCTACGTAATCAGTACAATTTTCTTCTTAAAATGCACAATGCGTAAA